CGGAGCTAACTACCGCGCGGCAGCCGGATCAAACGTCCCGCCCGATGTCCCACCAACGTCCCGTGGTTGGGGGGAGGTGCCGATCATACCTCATTCCTGCGGCGCGGCAAAGAAGCGGCGCCGCAGGGGTTGTTTTTTTTAACCCAAGTGTTCGCATGCGCCGTTGGGTGCATGTGCGCACCCGTGGAGACTTGACCAAAAAAAAAGTTTTCGCAACAGGACATGGGCGGGTGCCGGATGCCACGAGCTAACACCGGAAACGCGATCAGACGCCCGCCCTTGCCCCGGAAACTAGTACCTCGGAGGTACTAGTTTTTTACAGCGCATCTTCAGAGTGAAGCCTCGGGTGAGCTACGGGAGCTCTACGCTTCCCAGATGTGGCGGTGAGATCGCGCCCGGAAAATCCACCTATCTTCCGTCTCTCTAGCGTGCCTAATGCGCCGTGTGACCAGGGCTGATGTTTATTTTTAATAATAATGTTACCAACCTCCAAGCAGGGCCTGGCATTCTCCAGAAGTTACAGTAAATCTCCAGGCTACAGCAATCAGTTCCTCTGAAGGAAGCGACATCTTCAGAGGCAGGACTCCGGGGCCATCGCATCCCTGGTGTGCTCTCGCCTCACACACAGCTCCCAACCAATGCTCCCTCTAAGCTGCGGAGTCTTGTGAGCAAAAAGTCTACTTTGTGAGCTGCTGGCACTAAAATTGTGAGCCACCAATTTGGCTGCTGCGTAAATCAGTTTGCGCTGGAGCCCTCCTTCCTGAGCTAAGACAAAAACGTGTGAGCCGGAGGCTAAAAAACTGTGAGCTGCGGTGGCTCAAGTGGTTAAGGTGCTGAACTGCAGGCTGTGGAAGGTCGGTAGTTCAGCAGTTGGAGACCCGAGTGTGCCGCATGACGGAGTGAGCTCCCCTCTCTAGTTCCAGCTCCTGCCAACCTAGCAGTTCGAAAGCAAGAAATTGCAAGTAGATAAATAGGGACCGCTTCGGTGGGAAGGGAACAGCGTTCCGTGCGCCTTGGTGTTTAGTCATGCCGGCCACATGACCACGGAAACGAAGATGAGCACCGCAACCCTAGAGTCCGACTCGACTGGCTTTCGAGCAAGGGAACCTTTACCTTTAGCTCACACTAACTCAGCTTAGAGGGAACATGTTCCCAACTCTCCGGGAGTCTCCCACTCTGGAGCAGTGGCAACCCTATGAATTACAGCACCCAGGTCTTCAGACACACTAGATCCCTGGAGGGCGGCTATGAAACTGAAAAAGATTTATTGGTGTCGGGGGGAGGGGGTGGACCAAGGCGGGAGGTGAGCTCAGGTGCATTGCAGAGCCCCCCCCCCCAGACAAAAGGGATAGGTCTACCAGCCGCTTCCAGCTGCGCCATCCCCCTTCTCAATCCATTGCAGTCAATGGGGTTAGAAGGGTGTAGCTCTGTTTAAAGGTTCCCTTGCTCGAAAGCCAGTCGAGTCCGACTCTAGGGTTGCGGTGCTCATCTCCGTTTCCTAGCCGAAGAGCCAGCGCTGTCCGAAGACGTTTCCGTGGTCATGTGGCCGGCATGACTGAACACCAAGGCGCACGGAACACTGTTACCTTCCCACCGAAGCGGTCCCTATTTATCTACTTGCAATTTCTTGCTTTCAAACTGCTAGGTTGGCAGGAGCTGGAACTAGAGACGGGAGCTCGCTCCGTCATGCGGCACCCGGGTCTCGAACTGCTGAACTACCGACCTTCCACACACAGCCTAACCACTTGAACCACCACAGCTCAGGGCGGGTACCAACATACATACATACATACATACATATATATCTATGACTAAACACCAAGGCGCACGGAACGCTGTTACCTTCCCACCGAAGTGGTACCTATTATTTATCTACTTGCAATTTCTTG